AACAACATAAGAGATGACTCTACACATGGACATCACCAATACTGAAATCAGACTGATTATATTCTTTGCAGCCGAAGATGGAGAGGCTCTATACAGTCAGCAAAAACAAGACCAGGACCTGACTATGGCTCAGATCATGAACCCCTTATTGCCAAGTTCAGACTTAAATTGCAGAAAGTAGGGGAAATGACTAGGCCATTCAGGTTATGACCTAAATCAAATCCCTTATGATTATACAGTAGAAGTGACAAATAGATTCAAGGCATTAGATCTGATAGACAGACTGCCTGGAGAATTATGGGCAGAGGTTTGTAACATTGTACTGGAGGCGGTGTTCAAAACCGTCTCCAAGAAGAAGAAATAAAAAAAGGCAAAATGATTGTCTGAGGAGGCCTTACAAATAGCTGAGAAAAGAAGGTAAGTGAAAGGCAAAGAGAAAAGGAAAGATATACCCATCTGAAAGAAGAGTGTCAAAGAATAGCAAGGAGAGATAAGAAAACCTTCTTAAATGAACAATGCAAAGAAATAGAGGAAAACAATAGAATGAGAAAGACTAGAGATCTCTTATGGAGAAGGCAATGGCAACCCACTCCAGTACTCTTGCCTGGAGAATTCCATGGATGGAGGAGCCTGGTGGGCTACAGTCCATGGGGTCGTGAAGAGTCGAACACGACTGAGTGATTTCACTTTCATGCATTGGAGAAGGAAATGGCAACCCACTCCAGTATTCTTGCCTGGAGAATCCCAGGGAAGGAGGAGCCTGCTGGGCTGCCGTCTATGGGGTCGCACAGAGTCGGACACGACTGATGCAACGCAGCAGCAGCAGCAGCAGCAGCAGAGATCTCTTAAAGAAAATTAGAGACACCAATGGAACATTTCATGAAAAGATGAGCACAATAAAGGACAGAAATGGTATGGACCTAACAGAAGCTGAAGATATTAAGAAGAGGTAACAAGAATACACAGAAGAACTATACAAAAAAGATCTTAATGACCCAGGTAACCACGATGGTGTGATCACTCATCTAGAGCCAGAGATCCTGGAATGTGAAGTCAAGTGGGCCTTAGGAAGCATCACTAGGAACAAAGGTAGTGGAGGTGATGGAATTCCAGTTGAGCTATTTCAAATCCTAAAAGATGATGCTGTGAAAGGCCTGCACTCAAAATGCCAGCAAATATGGAAAACTTAGTAGTGGCCACAAGACTGGAAAAATGTCAGTTTTCATTCCAATCCCAAAGAAAGACAATGCCAAAGAATCTTCAAATTACTGCACAATTGCACTCATTTCATATGCTAGCAAAGTAATGCTAAAAGTTCTCCAAGCTAGGCTTCAACAGTATGTGAACCGAAAACTTCCAAATGTTCAAGCAGGATTTAGAAGAGACAGAGGAGCCAGAAATCAAATTGCCAATATCCATTGGATCATAGAAAAAGCAAGAGACTTCCAGAAAAAACATCTACTTCTGCTTCATTGACTGCTAAAGCCTTTGACTGTGTGGATCATAATAAACTGTGGAAAATTCTTCAAGAGATGGGAAAACCAGACCACCTTACCTGCCTTCTGCGAAACCTATATGCAGATCAAGAAGCAACAGTTAGAACTGCACATGGAATAATGGACTGGTTCAAAATTAGGAAAAAAGAACATCAAGGTTGTATATTGCCATCCTGCTTATGTAACTTCTATGCAGAGTACACGATGTGAAATTCTGGGCTAGATGAAGCACAAGCTGGAATCAATATTGCCAGGAGAAATATCAATAACCTCAGATATGCAGATGACAACACACTTTTGGCAGAAAGTGAAGAGGAACTAAAGAGCCTCTTGATGAAGGTGAAAGAGGAGAGTAAAAAAGCTGGCTTAAAGCTCAACATTCAAAAAACTAAGATCATGGCATCCAGTCCAGTCACTTCATGGCAAATAGATGGGGAAATAATTGAAACAGTGACATACTTTATTTTCTTGGGCTCCAAAATCATTGTGGACTGTGACTGCAGCCACAAAATTAAAAGACACTTGCTCCTTGGAAGAAAAGCTATGACCAACCTAGACAGCATATTGAAAAGTAGAGATATTCATTACTTTGCTGACAAAGTCAATTACTTTGCTGATATAGTCAAAGCTATGGTTTTTCCAATAGTCATGTATGATGTGAGAGTTGGATGATAAAGAAGAATTGATGCTTTTGAACTGTGGTGTTGGCGAAGACTCTTGAGAGTCCCTTGGACTGCAAGAAGATCAAACCAGTCAGTCCTAAAGGAAATCAGTCCTGAATATCATTGGAGGACTGGTGCTGAAGCTGAAGCTCCAAGTCTTTAGCCAACTGATGCAAAGAGCTGACTCATTAGAAAAGACCCTGATGCTGGGAAAGATTGAAGGCAGGAGGAGAAGGGGACGGCAGAGGATGAGATGGTTAGATGGCATCACCAACTCGATGGACATGAGTTTGAGTAAGCTCCAGGAGAAGATGATGGACAGGGAAGCCTGGTGTGCTGCAGTCCATGGGTTGCAAAGAGTCAGACATGACTGAGTGACTGAACAACAAATTTTTGATTGAAGAGTAATTGCTTTATAATATTGTGTTGGTTTCTGCCATACATCAACATGCATTGGCCATGATACACTTGAGTCACTTTTAACTGCTCTCTCCATGAGCACTGTCTTTGGATGAGGGTTAGTGAAAGAAGTAAGGGAGAGAAGGAAAAAGGTGGAGAGCCAAGGTGTCGGGCAGGCAAAGGGAGTTGAATGGAGAAGAGAAGAGAGGTTGAAGTTATGAAAGAGGAGAGAGCCAAGGTCTACACCAACAGCTTCCACCCATAGGAATTCAAATAACCTGAAATGAAATAAGAAAAGATTTGGGATTCTAGAAATGAAAGCAGCTGCCTAGGCAGGTCATTTGAATGTAGAGTTAATTAATAGGTGTTAGTGCCCTTCAGTGCCAAGCTGAGTATAGAACCCGTCCTGCTGTGATTAAATGCCAGCTGCCCAGGATGCCTGTTTAACAAAGAGCCAAAAAAAAAAAAAAAAAAAGCATTGGCATGAAAGAGCCAGAGAATTCCTTAGATAGCTCTTCCTAAGGGCATCAAGGCCCAACGGAAGCCCATAGTTGCCCCCGACCATTGGCCCTGCTCTTGCCAAAGATAAGTAGACAAGAGAAAAAGAACACATGTAGTGAACAGTTAGTATTCCAGAGGCCACACTGGATACATTTTATGCACACAAGCTCTTTTGATCCTTAGTGTAACTCTGTGAGTTAGGTATCATCTATATTTTACAGATTAGAAAGTTGAGGTCCTGGGAGGGTTAAGAATCTTACCCAAGGGTACACAACTTCAAAGTCCTGAATCTGAGATCCAATGCAGGTCATCCCCTCCACGATTGGCATCAGTTTTCTCCCTGGTCTTGCTGACTTTGGCTGTGGGGCTGATCTCTGGATTGATTTATTTGAACATAAACAAAATACCATCAATTTTCCCTGGCTCTGGAATGAATCTTCAGAGTCATGTGCTGTTTTCCAGCTTCCAGCTGGGTGTCTTTGCCGGGTGTTCATGAATATGAAGCAATAGGCCTTATCCTGAACATCAACAGCATGCATTCAAAAATACCAGGCTGCTTTTCTTCCCAGAAGACACTTCAGGCTGGGAGCTTTTAGCCTATGCAGCTGAGTTTTTTATTTTCTCTCCCTCCCACTGATCTGCCAGTAATCTGGTTGATAGCTGCTAGGCAAATTTTAAAATCTTTAACAAAATCATGGTACCTTTACTTGTTTAGTTTCCTCAGTCCCTATCCTGATATTAAGTCAATGTTACACATACTTCCCTAATAAAATGTTGATGATAAAACAAGGTTTAACAAGTGTTTCAAGCTTTAAAACATCATGGTAACTTTGAGATATTGCCCTCACTGTTCTGACTATCCCTAGGACCCAGCCCTATCAGCTCAATGGTTGATGGATGCCATCTGTCTGCTGCCAACCTGTGAGTGATGGTAGGCAGAGGACAGGAGGTAGGCACAGGACAGGTTTGACAATGTTTCCCAAAATTCTGATGTGACATGGTTAGGCCAACTAACAGAGGAGCCAGTGGAGGTAAAGAGGCTGGACCCAAATCAGGGTCCAAAATGGCATGCAGTGTAAACCTTATGGAGTTGTGGCTTTAAGGTGGGGTAGGTTGGTTGGAAAGTCTGTGATGATATTTTTATGGAATTGTTCTGGAGTCGGGTACACTCTGGGAACCTTTGGGGTTAGGCCTTTGGTCTAGAGTTGTGTGTCCTGCACAAGTAGTAAGAGAGTAGGATTATTGTGCTGTATGCAGGGCCTTCTGAAATCTCATGGAATAACAGAATTTTCAGTAATATGCAGTGACAAGCAGGCGACAAGTCTCTGATCTTGGATTTGGGCTTTTACTCTGGTCATTTTAATGAACAGGATTCTTCTGCATCACATTCAAAATCTACTTGGAATCCAATCGCTTTTTACCATCTTTGTTGCCTCCATCTAGTCCAAGCCATCATCCTCTCTTGCCTGTCACTGGTCTCCTAAATGATGCCATTAAAACATAGTCTGTGTCAGTCTTTTGCTCAACAAACATGTTCTAATTGTTCCCCATCTCACTCATATTAAAAGCCAAAGACTTTAGAATAGCCTTCAAGGCCCTCAGAATCTGCCCCTCCCTTACCTCCCTGACATTATCTACTCCAAATCCCTTTGTCACCTCCTTCATCCCAGCCACACTAGTCTCCTGATCATTCTTTATGTTTTCCAGGCACATTAATGTATTGTGCTTGCTTTTCCTTCTGCATGGAATGCTTTTCCCCAGCGCATCAGTCAGGATGCTGGGAGAGAGTGGTTATGGGAACTGCAGAAAGTTGCTGTCTAAAGAAGGCCGCCTGAGAGGAGCTGAGGTCTTTGGTGGAGGGATGCAGCCAACCCGTGATGAACCTAAACAGCGAGAGCTTATGAAAAATCTCATTTTCTCTTTCCTTTTGATCTCCTTGCAGGTGCCTCCCATTGGTCAAACCTAACCCGAAGCCAGAGGGCGAGGGAACCTGTCAATGCAGTCCATACAGGTCAGCCTACCAGGGCACAAAGCTGGGTGGAGAAGGGTGGACAAAATCTGAAGGGGAAAATTAAAATGTCCACAACTTCTGGATATCTTTGTAGCTGGCTCCCTCACTTCCTCCAGCTCTCCACTGAAATGTTACCTTCTCAGTGAAGACTTCTCTGGCCACCATTTCTAAAATTTCAAACCCCAGCAGTCAATACCTTACATCCTTCTTTCATGCTATTGATACACTCTTGTATAGCACTTAATACCACCTAACATATAATTTATTTATTTATCTTGCCTATCATCTGCTCCCCCACTAGACTGGGACTTTGTTTGATTCATTGCTATTATCACTGCCTAGAATACTACACAGTAGGTGCTCAGTGAATATCTGGTCAATGAATGAATGCACTCTCAGAAGCCACCCTAGGGTGAGTCTGCTCTCAGCCAGGCACAGCTAGGGGTGGTTGTTCAACTGTTATTCATGCCTGCTGCTCTCAGTTTCCTTCAAAGAGGCTTACTGCTGCCACATTTTCAAATCAGAGGGTGGGGAGGTCTTTGGTGCCCTCAGCTTTGAAACTTGCATGACAGCTTTTCAACTAGAATCTTATGGAAACTGCTGTTTCACTGATTAGCATGGCTGAACTTTGTGTGTTTCTAAGTCGTCAGCAGCAGTGGGTAGGTTCACAGTCATGGGGACATTGGCCCTTCCAGGTGGTACTTCCATACATCAATGGTAGTGCTAGTGGACCTGACTCCAAGTAAAGTGGACCCAGGAGGCACTTCCTTGAGGCTCAAGGGCAGGGGGATATGAGCTGGGCCCTCTGGCTATACTGGTGGTGAAATATGGGTAGGTCAGATCAGGACAAGCAAAACAGGTTTGAATTCCTAGTACACTGTTGCTGTGTCCAGGATAATGTTTTTACTATACAAGTGGCACACGAAGATATTTTTATTGTAAAAAAAAAGAAATGAAACAATCCAGCTACAGTTAAAACCCTCTTCCTTTCCCAACTCTGCTCCCCAGAGGTAACAACCACTGTCATCAGCGAAGAGTACTCTCTTCTAAATCTTTTTCTATGTATGCATAGTTTGATTGTATGTGGGTATTTAAAAATAAATAGTATACACTGATCTTTAACTTGCTTTATTTCACTTAACAATGTATCTTGGAAACCTTACCATGTCAGGACACATGGATCTAATTCATTTTTTTAATTAATTAAGCTTCTTATTTTGATGTAATTGTAGATTCACATGTAGCTTAGAAATAACAGAGAGGTCTCACATACCCGTCACCCAGTTTTTCTCAATGGCAACTTCTTGCAACACTATAGTACAATATCACCTGCAGGACAGTAACATTGATACAGTCAAGATACAGAAAATTTTCATCACCATAAGAATCCTTCAAATTGCCCTTTCATGCTGCTGCTGTTGCTGCTAAGTCGCTTCAGTTGTGTCTGACTCTGTGTGACCCCATAGATGGCAGCCCCTCAGGCTCCACCGTCCCTGGGATTCTCCAGGCAAAACACTGGAGTGGGTTGCCATTGCCTTCTCCGCTTGCCCTTTCATAGCTACCCCCAATTGTCATCCTACCCTTCACCTCCTCCTTAACCCCTGGCAACCACCAATCTACTCTCCATTTCTAAACTTAAGTCTTCCTTTTCAATGAATTATCTGTTCGTGTCATGGTTTGATTGTCATATACAAAATCTAGCCTATATGCCTAGCTCTAGATTCCAAATGTTTTCTTTTCTCTAAACATTTTATAGTTTTACATTTTTCATTTAAGTTCATGATGCAGCATTTTCCAGCTTTATTGAGATATAATTGGCATATAATATGGTATAAGTTTAAGGTGTACAACATGATGATTTGATGTATATATATATATATATATATATATATATATATATATATTTCAAAATAATTACCAAAATAAGGTTAGTTTGGTTTGAAGAGGGGTTGGTTTTTTTTTATTTTTTTATTTTGGCTTCACTGGGTCTTTGTTGCGGCACAGGGGCTTCTCCAGTTGCAGCACACAGACTTCTCTTGTCGTGACACAAGGGCTTCTCATTGTGGTGCAGGACTTCTCTAATTGTGGCACATAGGCTTCTCTTATTGTGGAGCGTGGACTCTAGAGCACATGAGCTCAGCAGCTGTGGTATGTGGGCTTCTGTCGTTGCAGTGCAGGGTCTCTTCATTTGTAGTACGAGGACTTGGTTGACCTGTGGCATTTGGGATCTTAGTTCCCCAACCAGGGTTGGAGCCCACATCCCCTGCATTGAAAGGCATATTCTTAACCACTCCACCAGCAGGGAATTCCCAAGGTTAGTTTGCATTTAAGTTGATGAATTTTAAGTGATACATTTTAAGACTTTTTTTTATTTTGATAGGAATTGCACCAAACCTGTATATAAATATGGGGAGAACTGACATCTTTACTGGTGAAGGAAATGACAACCCACTCCAGTATTCATGCCTAGAAAATTTCACTGACAGAGGAGCCTAGTGGGCTCCATGGGGTCGCAAAGAGTCGAACATGACTGAGCAACTGAGCACACATGCATGATGTCCATTACTATGTTGAGTCTTCTAATTCATGAACACAGTATATTTCTCAATTTATTTAGATCTTCTTTGAATTCTTTCATCATCATTTTATAGTTTTGAGTGTACAATTCCTATCAAGTTTTGTTATATTTTACACTTAAGCACTTACGCATTTTATCTTGAGAAATTGTGCATGTTATTGTATTTTTACATTTTGGCATCCATTTGTTCATTGCTAGTATATAGAAATATGATTTATTTCCATATGCTTATCTTGTATCCTGCAACCTTGCCAAACTTAACTTATTAGTTCTAGGAATTGTTTTATGGTTTGTTGGAATTTTCTTCATACACTATCAGGTTATCTCCAAATAGGGACAGTTTTATTTCTTCCTTTTCAATCTGTATGCATTTCATTTCCTCTTCTTGCCTGATTATACTGGCTAGAACTTTCAGCATTGTGTGGAATTAGAGTGGTGAGGGCAGACATTCTTGCCTTGTTCACAATCTGAGGAGAAAAGCATTCAGTCTTTCACCATTAAGTTTAGTGTTAGCTGTGTTTTGTGGCTGCTCTTTTCCAAGTTGAGAAAATTCCTTTCTTTTCTTATTACTGAGGGTGTTGTTTTTTCTTTTTTATCATTGGTGTTTTTATAATTGGTGTTGGATTTTTGTGAAGTGTTTTTTTCTGCATTGATTTACATAATCATGTGATTGTTGTTTAGTCTATTAATATTGTGTATTGCATTGATTTATTTTCAGATATTGAAACCATCTTGCATCTCTGGAATAGCCTTCATTTGATAATAGTGTATAATTCTTATTACTGAATTCTATTTACTAATGTTGTGTTTAGGAGTTTTACTTCTATTTTCATGAGAGATGTTGGTCTGTAGTTTTCACTTTTGTTGTGTGACTGTCATCTGGTTTTGGTATCAAGATAATATAAGCTTCATAAAATTATTTGGGAAGTATTTTCTCCTCTTCTGTTTTCTGGAAAAGATTGTATAGAATTGGTGTTAATTCTTTAAAGATTTGGTAGAATTCTCCAGTGCAACCATAGGACCTGGGTATTTGTCTTCTGGGAGTTTTAAAATTATGAACTCGATTTTCTTAATAGTGATAGGGCTATTCAAATCATCTATTTCCTATTGAGTGAGTTTGGGGCATTTGTGTTTTTTAAGGAATTGGTAAGTTTCATCAAAATTGTCAAGGTGTGTAGAGTTGTCCTTAGTATTTATTCCTTTTGATATCAAAGTGATTGATACTCATTTTGTTCCCGATATTAACAACATGCGTTTTCTCTTTTTCCCCCTCCCTTTGTCTTACTGGTGTTTGTCAGTTTTACTGATCTTTGTTTCATTGATTTATCTAATTGTTTTCCTGTTTTCAATTTTATTGATTTATGCTTTAGTTTAATTTCCTTTCTTCTGGGTTTATCTTGCTCTTCTTTTTCTAGTTTGTTGAGGTAGGAACATAGATTATTGATTTGAGGCGTTTTCTCTTTTCTATAAATTTCCCTTTAAACACTGCTTTAATTGCATACCACAAATTTTGCTATGTTGTATTTTCATTCTGTTTAATGTATTTTTAAAATTCCTCTTGAGATTTCATCTTTGACCCATGGATTATTTAGAAATGTGCTGTTTGGTTTCCAAGTGTTTGGATATTTTCCTGTTATCTTTCTGTTATTATTGATTTCTAGTTTGATTCCATTGTGGTCACAGAATACATTTCATTTTATTTCAGTTGTTTTTTAGTTGGTTAAGGCTTGTTTTATGGCACAGGATATGGTGTAACATAGCTTCTTCCATGGGCACTTGAAAAACAGGTCTAGTCTTTGTTGGATGGAGTGTTCTATAAATATTTAATTAGAAACCATTTGTTGAGGGCATTGTTGAGTTCTTCTGTATCCTTGCTGATTTTCTGTCTAAGTAGGTCCATCCCAGCTCCCCACTCAGCCTTCTTTGACATTCACCCCAGCAGGGAGGTTACACCTGATCACAGTTTAGGAAGGGTGAAAGTCTGTGTTCTTAACCCTTTCTTTGCAGGTGGGTTTGAGAATGGACCACATTTTTTTCCTGGGATGTTTGGCTGGAACAGAGCGTTATTGTCTAAACTCTTCTGTGTGGCTAGTCTACCTCCTTTTCTGGTCCTTTGGTTAGAGAGACAGCCTTGCTTTGGTTTTTTGTCTGTTCCCATTGGTGTTTCCATGTTTCAAGTTTTTTGAGCTCTAACTCTGGGATACATGAGACAAAACAAATCCAGGGAACTTACCACCTTGTCACTCCTCAAGTCTTGAGGTCTCTCTGGTGTCCCTTCTCTCTCCACCTTTCAGAGTCTTTTTGTATATGTTTTATGTATAATGTTCAGGAGTTTCAGTTGTACTTAGGTTATTTCTAATTTATTTATTTTTATTGA